TGCTTTATAACAAGACACTTCTGCTTTATTTGCTTTATAACAAGACACTTCTGCTTTATTTGCTTTATAACAAGACACTTCTGCTTTATTTGCTTTATAACAAGACACTTCTGCTTTATTTGCTTTATAACAAGACACTCCTGCCTTATTTGCTTTATAACAAGACACTTCTGCTTTATTTGCTTTATAACAAGACACTCCTGCCTTATTTGCTTTATAACAAGACACTTCTGCTTTATTTGCTTTATAACAAGACACTCCTGCCTTATTTGCTTTATAACAAGACACTTCTGCTTTATTTGCTTTATAACAAGACACTCCTGCCTTATTTGCTTTATAACAAGACACTTCTGCTTTATTTGCTTTATAACAAGACACTCCTGCCTTATTTGCTTTATAACAAGACACTTCTGCTTTATTTGCTTTATAACAAGACACTCCTGCCTTATTTGCTTTATAACAAGACACTTCTGCTTTATTTGCTTTATAACATGACACTCCTGCCTTATTTGCTTTATAACAAGACACTTCTGCTTTATTTGCTTTATAACAAGACACTTCTGCTTTATGTGCTTTATAACAAGACACTCCTGCCTTATTTGCTTTATAACAAGACACTTCTGCTTTATTTGCTTTATAACAAGACACTTCTGCTTTATGTGCTTTATAACAAGACACTTCTGCTTTATTTGCTCTATAACAAGACACTTCTGCTTTATGTGCTTTATAACAAGACACTTCTGCTTTATTTGCTTTATAACAAGACACTCCTGCCTTATTTGCTTTATAACAAGACACTTCTGCTTTATTTGCTTTATAACAAGACACTCCTGCCTTATTTGCTTTATAACAAGACACTTCTGCTTTATGTGCACATGCTGATGATGAGCTTACGTAAACTCTATTTGGTAACTTAAATTTATAGCATGGGTTATAAATATGTCTAGGCTGTCGTCCATGAATGACGTCAAACAACTTTTGTCTATTTATACCCTTCAGCCCAGCCTATCAAAACAAATTTATCAAATGTGTTCACCGGATGCCGCCAGCAGCCCAAACTCAAGTCATCCAGTTGTGTCCACACCCCCGCCCTAAAGTACACAATGGGCAAACGTACATCAACATGTTTTTTCAAATTGTTTTAACATATACACAAGAGATACTCCGTCACATTTCTAGAAACATTTCCACCCGCGTCTTCAGAAATTCTTACCACAACCTCCATATTGTCACAAATCTTTACCACAATGTCTTTGTCACTAATCTTAACCACAATGTCTTTGTCACAAATCTTAACCACAATGTACCCATTGTCACAAATCTTTACCACAATGTCCCCCCAACGTCACATACCATAATTATCCTTCCCCGGGGTATAAGTAATATTTATGCACCATGCACATATTTGGTAGGACGATTGGAAAAGTTTATCATTGTTAGGCTTAACTATTTGCTTCCACCTCAAACGTGTGACCAGCGCCAGTTGACCAAAGGTCCCCACCACCGCTCTGTTTGTTCGTGGTCTGCTGATCACGTGACCTGCACATCCTGTCACCTTGCCAGCAGGTTTGTTGACCCTATGACGTGTACACCTGGTTCGCCCATTCAGTTTTACCTGGCCATACCTCATCAGGTCACTGTGACACAGAATTGCACTAAGTTATAACGGTGGGTTGGGAGGGGGGGGGGGGGATGGGACGGGACGGGGGGGGGGGGAGAGAGTGAGAAGGGAGAGGTCATCTACCTGTATAATGATCATGAAAAAATTCTGATCAACAAACGTCGCTGTTTGATTGACGTTTAAAGTAATTAGTTTAATTATCATAATACGGAAATAAAATATGTTTAACATCAATTTTTTTACTGGCTTGGTTTATGTTTTATCTATTGTAATAAATAAACATGTTTATATTACGTTCTACGACATAAATTAACAGTCCCATCCATTTTCAAGCATAACTGATCACAGAAATATTGTAAATATATCTAAAAGACAACTGAAACAGCAATCTTGTGTCAACTCAACGTGGACCTTGATACTGTTCTATTGTTATGGAATGCCTTATATGCTTGAATTTCTCCTGAATTCATTAGAACGTATCTAAATCTAGTTGTACAACATTTCAATGTCAAAATGCGGGTAATGTTGGCTTGAATAAAGAAACGCTAATGACCTGCATGTTGATAACATTAGGGCACTTAGATAATGTATACTGTGTACCTGCATACAGCCTCAGGTGTGTCTACATTGGACTGGACGTACTGATGGTAAAACTTTAAAAAACTGTAGCTTTGTGTCAGCTGTTTGCTGAGCCAGGAAGTGTGTGTTGGTGACGTGGGAATAGAGAGGTTTTATGACGTGTACACAAACTTCCGTGTAAAAATCCTAAGGTTTTGTGACGTATACACACATTTCTATGCAATATATAGTTTAATGTTGTGTATACAAACTTCATTGTTTAAGCTTAAGGTTGTTTAACGTATACACCAACGGTTTCATGACAACTAATATACTATTGCTTGCAGAGAAACCCACATACCAGATGCCTGGGGCCATAGGAAATGTCAGAATATTTTTCCGTGAATTTAGCTGAGTTACTACACGCTATTTTACGGTAGATTGCCTAATTTTCCGATTCATCATAACAGTGTGACACGTTGCATCAATCTATGGCTGCATCATATGGACAGATGGTATGAACTTATGGCTGCAACATATGGACAGATGGTATGAACCTATGGCTGCACCATATGTACAGATTGTATGAACCTATGGCTGCTCCATATGTACAGATAGTATGAACCTATCGCTGCATCATATGTACAGATTGTATGAACCTATGGCTGCTCCATATGTACAGATGGTATGAACCTATCGCTGCATCATATGTACAGATGGTATGAACCTATCTCTGCATCATATGTACAGATGGTATGAACCTATCGCTGCATCATATGTACAGATGGTATGAACCTATCGCTGCATCATACGGATAGATGGTATGAACCTATCGCTGCATCATATGGACAGATGGTATGAACCTATCGCTGCATCATATGAACAGATGGTATGAACCTATGGCTGCAACATATGGACAGATGGTATGAACCTATGGCTGCACCATATGTACAGATTGTATGAACCTATGGCTGCTCCATATGTACAGATAGTATGAACCTATCGCTGCATCATATGTACAGATGGTATGAACCTATGGCTGCTCCATATGTACAGATGGTATGAACCTATCGCTGCATCATATGTACAGATGGTATGAACCTATCGCTGCATCATATGTACATATTGTATGAACCTATGGCTGCTCCATATGTACAGATGGTATGAACCTATCGCTGCATCATATGTACAGATGGTATGAACCTATCGCTGCATCATATGGACAGATTGTATGAACCTATGGCTGCATCATATGTACAGATGGTATGAACCTATCGCTGCATCATACGGATAGATGGTATGAACCTATCGCTGCATCATATGAACAGATGGTATGAACCTATGGCTGCAACATATGGACAGATGGTATGAACCTATGGCTGCACCATATGTACAGATGGTATGAACCTATCGCTGCATCATATGTACAGATGGTATGAACCTATCGCTGCATCATATGTACAGATGGTATGAACCTATCTCTGCATCATATGTACAGATTGTATGAACCTATCGCTGCATCATATGGACAGATTGTATGAACCTATCTCTGCATCATATGTACAGATGGTATGAACCTATCGCTGCATCATATGTACAGATGGTATGAACCTATCGCTGCATCATACGGATAGATGGTATGAACCTATCGCTGCATCATATGTACAGATGGTATGAACCTATCGCTGCATCATATGTACAGATGGTATGAACCTATCGCTGCATCATATGGACAGATGGTATGAACCTATCGCTGCATCATATGTACAGATGGTATGAACTTATTGCTGCACCATATGTACAGATGGTATGAACCTATCGCTGCATCATATGTACAGATGGTATGAACCTATCGCTGCATCATATGGACAGATGGTATGAACCTATCACAGCATCATAAGACCAGATGGAATGAACCTACTACTGCATCATATGGACAGATGGTATGAACCTATTGCTGCATCATATGTACAGATGCTATGAACCTATCGCTGCATCATATGTACAGATGGTATGAACCTATTGCTGCATCATATGTACAGATGGTATGAACCTATTTCTGCATCATATGAACAGATGGTATGAACCTATCGCTGCATCATATGTACAGATGGTATGAACCTATTTCTGCATCATATGAACAGATGGAATGAACCTATCTCTGCACGATATGACATACGGTATGAACCTATCGCTGCATCATATGGACAGATAGTATGAACCTATCGCTGCATCATATGAACAGATAGTATGAACCTATCTCTGCACGATATGACAGACGGTATGAACCTATCACTGCATCATACGGGCAGATGGTATAAAATTATTAGTGTGAAATAATAATTTCTGTTGTAAGTCATTTTTAAAAAAATACAATTTATTTACACCATATTATCTTGCCATAAAATGTAGGACAATAACAGTTTTAGATTACACTGTAGACACTACTCACAGAACAGCGGACTCTAAATAATATGATTGAAGCTAGACTTCTTATAACTAGTTCAAGATGAAATATGATTATCTACAAGGAGATTTTATTTCAAATTTGCTTTTCGTTTGTTTCTGTTTTTGGATAGTTAAACGAACACAAATAGCCAGATAACAAAAACATACTATTAATTAAATATCAATTAAGTTTATCTTGCTGCGAATTTTAAATATTGTCAGAGTACTGCAGACTATTTGACAATCTAATAAAGTTTCTTTTTTCTATCTTTCTACACATTTAAACTTCATATTTAAAACATTTAGTAAAGAGTAATTAAAAAACTAACCTATTAACCATTTAACATTGAACCTATTAACTATTTCACAGTGAACCTTTTAACTATTTCACAGTGAACCTATTAACCATTTAACATTGAACCTATTAACTATTTCACAGTGAACCTATTAACTATTTCACAGTGAACCTATTAACTATTTCACAGTGAACCTATTAACTATTTCACAGTGAACCTATTAACTATTTCACAGTGAACCTATTAACTATTTCACAGTGAACCTATTAACTATTTCACAGTTTAACCTATTAACTATTTCACATTGAACCTATTAACTATTTCACATTGAACCTATTAACTTTTTCACAGTGAACCTATTAACTATTTCACATTGAACCTATTAACTATTTCACAGTGAACCTATGAACCATTTCACAGTATAATGTATCAACCATTTCACAGTCGTATACATAGCTAATATAAAGAGTCAAGTTCACCAGTAGTAATCAGGTTATGCTTGCTGTACTGGACTAAACTTAAACTTCAGCGGCACCTTCGGGTCAATAAAAACTCTGTAGACGAACTCTGTGTTCCAAGACTCTGGTTCTAGCTCTATTTTTAGCTTCTGTAACACCTGGAATCATACCAGAAGGTAAATGTTAGACCCTATACACCACAACACAGAGATAACACCATACAAGAAACAGATGTAAACCTGGCTAGACCATTTATAAATATGCACCTAATAAACGGAAAAGCTAACTATATAATTTTTAATTATATACATAAGTGTAACAAGAATTTACGTTTCTATTTTTTTTTTAAGTTATGCAAGATAGGTATTGTAAACAACATATATTAATATCAAGGTAATTAGAGTTGACATTGTCAACAGGTTTAACTTACAAACTACCTATCCTTGAGATCTGAACATATATCACATGTTTTATAGAAACGTATTGTCATAAAAATTTTAAAGCCTGGCTTTGTACAGTTCTTATTTCAGCAGTTACATGAAGATAGTATGATAATATGGCTTTGTACAGTTTTTTTTAGCAGTTACATGAAAATATTATGATAGTATGGCTTCGTACAGTTCTTATTTCAGCAGTTTGAAAGAAGGACTGTTTATTTTGTAAAGGACACAAGTAGATCTAATTTCCTATTACTACGCTATCTGCTTCAAATCACCTTTGCTGTGGCCAGATACATCTCCTGCGTGGCAAATCTCTGACCAATACAGTTACGAGGTCCGTGGCCAAACGGCAAAACTGCCAGGGTTTGTGTGCTGTCCTGCTTGTGGCTAGGACCTGACCGCAACCATCGTTCTGGGATAAAATTATCCGGCTCATCAAAATAAACCTTGGATGCTCTGGGATTACCAAGTATGATAAATGTCTGCAATGTTAATGAAAGTAAATTAATGGTTACTGTTGTCTTTTTTTTTTATTATAACAAGATTTGCATGAAAAAATAAGTAAGTCTAACTTCATAAATAATGTTTGCTACAGAAGATAAAAAAAAAGTAGTTTTATCGAATCAGTTGAACATTTTTTTCTGATTTTGACAACTGTTTTTTTTTTAATATTTGTGTTTATGTGTGTGCTACAAGCTGATGTGTGTGTTTTAAGTTGATGTGTATATGTGTGTTTTAAGTTGATGCGTAAATGTGTGCTACTTACTGATGTGATTGTGTTACAAGCTCATGTGTATATGTGTGTTTTACAAGCTGATGTATATATGTGTAAAGCTATAGTTGATACACATCTCCTTAAGCTAATAAAACCTACATTTCAAAAGAGAAATCAATGTTTAAAAGTTATTATCAAGTAGTATTAAACTATTTTTCCAAAAGTTTTGTTTTAAAATACACTAATTTTAACCTGAACTGAAGATATATCTACTTACCCCTGATGGTACCCTGTACCCACCCATGTTACCTTAAACTCGAGACATATCTACTTACCCTCTACCCACCCATCTTACCTTAAACTCGAGACATATCAACCTACCCTCTACCCACCCATCTTACCTTAAACTCGAGACATATCTACTTACCCCAGCTGGTACCATGTACCCCCCCCCACCCCATCTTACCTTAAACTCGAGACATATCTACTTACCCTCTACCCACCCATTTGACCTTAAACTCGAGACATATCTACTTACCCCAGCTGGTACCCTGTACCCACCCAGGACGACATCAACAGGTAGAACACGACCCGTCCCACTTAATGTTGGAAACAGTAGCCTGTAATCAGTTGATACATGTAAATACAGGATACTATTATAGTTGTATATAATCGGATTTAAAAGTTACACAGTGCCATATCAAACATTACGGCCCCACAAATACAGGGATATCGTTGCAGTCGCCTTTACTTTGTCAAACGTTACTCATGCACCGATTAGAGCTGAGTGGACTCAAGGGCGTTTTTCAAACTCGAAACCGGGATCCGAACTCTAAACTTTCGGGTTAGCAGTCGAACGCTCTACCATTCGACGCATCGTCCATATCTAATACTATGGTCTTTATAAAAAAAAGTTAAAGACGATCTAAGACTTTAGAAGATAATACTTGTATCGTATTAAACTTTATCCAGGATTGGAGTGTTTTTTTTTAATAAATTTAAGCTGAAAAATCAATAAATACAATTTCTAATGGCAATAATATTTCCATTAGCGGCTTATTTATTTCCTTTGTGTGAATTCGTCTTAATAAAATATCTAAGTGCCTGAACTTTAAAGATTGTACTTTTTTTAAATTTTAACTAGCATGATATATATTTATTTTATATGAGGACCAGTTGATTCACTGCTTTCAAAGATTTAAATTTAAAAAAAAATTTCAACTAGCATAATATATATTTATTTTATATTAGGACCAGTCGAATCACTGCTTTCAATCTGGCTAGTGAAAACGTAGAAGTACCTTAAAGATTAAAACATGTATTCATGTATCATACAATTTTAGTTTTAAAGTGTTTTTTTTTTGTCTAAAATTTCAATCAGTTTTTTTTATTTTTTTTTTTTGTTATCCTAAGTCCACATCCTAGGAAATCAATTAAAACTGGATAATTCCATCGATTTGAAGTTGGATAATTAAAAACATCAACTCAATCACTGACCTGAACGATTCTTTAACACAAGCTTTTAGATAGACCATCTCAGTAAGGGCTTTGGCTGTTAAAGGCTTGTCAGGACCAATAACTCGGTCAACTTCTTGACGTAAGAGTTCTTGCTTTTCCGGATTTCTCGCTAAGTTGAAGAAAATTGCTTGTAAATTCTTGGCTGTCTGCAATACAATCAAATTACTTGCTTGATAATTTATAATTCCCTTTTTCAAAAAGAATCGCGATGACTTGGTAATTATAGGGCGGTAAATGAGTTAAGAATAACTGTTATAAAAGTCGTCAAGAACTGGGCTATTTAACAAGTCAACAACTGGGCTTTATAACAACTCAATAACTGAGCTATATAACAAGTCAACACGTGGGCTATGTTTCTGGTCAATAACTAGACTATGTAACCAGTCAACAACTAAGTTAAGTAAAAAAATCAACAACTGACAGAATCAGTTCCGGCTGTATACAGTGAATCAATCATATTCGACACATCTTCATCGGAAAAATTTTTTTCCGACGCAAGGGAGAGAAGAAGATTTGGCTCCTCGGGATTTAGAGTTCCTTCCTTTTCTTTCTGTTTGATTATTTCCCTTGCTTTAGCTGCATGCGCAGATGAGTTTCTATGACGAGAAAAAAAGGATTTGTTAATTATTAGATTTAAAAAAAACGTATTACTACATGATAAAAAAATTGATTATAACTGGCTTAAATAATAAACTAAATTAAATAAAATCAAACTCAGTTTTCAATGGTCTCAAAGAAAAACGTTCAAAATGTATTCCATCACACTTAAAGAATGTATATTGTGCATGCATATTTATGTAGAACTATAAAGATTAATCGTGTAATGATGAATAACATTATACTGTCATTTGGTATGTTTCCTTTAGAAAATGTTCAAAATATACATAATATAACCACATTTCTGTTAGACAAGCCTGCTTGAACTGGCCAACCTTTTCAGTACCCATATAGCTTGCTCAAAATTTGATCAACAGGCCAACCTTTTCATTACCCATATAATTTGCTCAAAATTTTACCAACAGGCCAACCTTTTCATTACCCATATAGCTTGCTCAAAGTTTGATCAACACACCAACCTTTTCATTACCCAAATAGCTTGCTCAAAGTTTGATCAGCACACCAACCTTTGCATTACCCAAATAGCTTGTTCAAGTTTGATCAACACACCAACCTTTTCATTACCCATATAGCTTGCTCAAAGTTTGATCAGCACACCAACCTTTGCATTACCCAAATAGCTTGTTCAAGTTTGATCAGCACGCCAACCTTTTCATTACCCATATAGCTTGCTCAAAGGTCCTGTATGTTTTATTTCTTTTCATTATCCATATAGCTTGATCAACATTTAATCAACAGGCCAACCTTTTCATTACCCATATAATTTGCTCAAAGTTTGATCAACACACCAACCTTTCCATTACCCAATAGCTTGCTCAAAGTTTGATCAACAGGCCAACCTTTTCATTACCCATATAGCTTGCTCAAAGGTCCTGTATGTTTTATTTCTTCTCATTACCCATATAGCTTGCTCAAAGTTTGATCAACAGGCCAACCTTTTCATTACCCATATAATTAGCTAAAAGTTTGATCAGCTCGCCAACCTTTTCATTACCCATATAGCTTGCTCAAAGGTCCTGTATGTTTTATTTCTTCTCATTACCCATATAGCTTGCTCAAAGTTTGATCAACAGGCCAACCTTTTCATTACCCATATAATTAGCTCAAAGTTTGATCAGCACGCCAACCTTTTCATTACCCATATAGCTTGCTCAAAGGTCCTGTATGTTTTATTTCTGTAGAACTTGTGCAGGACAGATTTGCCACTCATGCTCATATGAATCTGTTCAAATGCGACTTTAGAAGCTTCCAGAAATTCTCTTTCTTCTTTATCGGCAGACCCATCCATAAATCCAAGTCTTTTGTTGAATGTTACAACTCCGATACCTGGTTCAACAGCGCATAACTTTACATGTAAAGATTTACAAAACATAATGTGATGTTAATGTAAGTAAATTTTCGTTTACATACAAGTTACTAAAGAGACAGTCAGTGAATATTGAATTAAAATTTTATAGTGCAGAACAAAATGTAACTGTAATATCGAATGACTGCACTTATCATGCCTTAAAAGTGAAAAAGCAGCTTGTTATCTATATACTCATTAAAATATAATTTGGTTAAGCTAAGTTGGCATATATTGCAAAATAATTAAATAATTACTAGTTTTTTTGTAATATCTCACCAACATCAATAAAATGACTTAATTACAATTTAAAAAAAATTAAAACTTAATTTATTAAATTTAAGATGTGGGTTCAAAAGTGATTTTTTTCTGACATATACAAACATTTATAAGATAAATACTAAGAGTATTATACCACCCAAATCTATAGATCTAATCAATGTATAAAAATCGTACTCTCTGAAGCATATCTGTAGAACAGATCAGACAACTGCTCAGGTTCAAGCTTCTGATTGGCCAAAATCTGAACAAAATCATCAGCCACCAAGTTCTGGGGCTCCAGGTAATGGGAGGCTGAGTCGGCCTTCATCAATCTCTTGTTGACAGCAGAGCGTAGTTTATACCAGTTCTCTCCCTGTCTGAGATGGTGAATGGCATCATTACTTCTGTTAACAACAACTGTAATGGCTATGTCATTATTACTTCAACTAACAACAACTGTAATGACAATGTCATCATTACTTCAGTTAACAACAACTGTAATGACAATGTCAACATTACTTCAATTAACAAGAACTAATGACAATGCCATCATTACTTCAGTTAACAACAACTGTAATGACAATGTCAACATTACTTCAATTAACAAGAACTAATGACAATGCCATCATTACTTCAGTTAACAACAACTGTAATGACAATGTCATCATTACTTCAGTTAACAACAACTGTAATGACAATGTCAACATTACTTCAGTTAACAACAACTGTAATGACAATGTCACCATTACTTCAGTTAAAAACAACTGTAATGACAATGTAAACATTACTTCCGTTAACAACAACTGTAATGACAATGTCAACATTACTTCAGTTACCAACAACTGTAATGACAATGTCAACATTACTTCGATTAACACATAAGTTAACAAATAAATAAGCAACTGTTTATTTTAATTGAATAATTTTGAATACAACTTATTTTACACGCATTTTAAAAAAATAATTAACAATTAAATATATATTTATTTAACATCTGTCTATCCCAAAGTTTGTCTTTGATTACATCTATTTTTAGTATCTGTTTTTAATATATGTTTATTTTAATATATTTTAAAATATGTTTTTATTTAAATATATTATTGTTTTTTTAAGGTATGTTTTTTGTTCTTCTTCGTTCTTAATTTTTAGTTTTGGAAGTGATTCCCCCCAACACAATAAAGTATTACGTGCCAACTTGTTATGTGCAATATGGGCCGTCTATATCCCGAGTAGCTATCCCCCGTGGTGTTGCATAAGTATATTCGAGATCACTCCCGCTTTATTTATATAGCCATTGTCCAAATTAAGTACAAACTACAAGGTAGTTGTCTCTCCTAGAAGAGTCGCTGTCCCCAGCTATCGAGCCTCAAGACTTTACGGAATCTACCAATTTAATTTTATATCCATCTGATACAACATTGAACATCAACCTAAACGTACTCAATCATTATCGATTTCTTGTAGCCATTTCTTTCAAACAAGACTTCCACCAGCTCTATAGGCGGACGGTTGGGGTACTTGCCCTCCCTCCTGAAGACCGTCTCGATGTCTCTGACGTCAGACACCATCACCATCTCCCGGCCCAGCTGGAGCCGCACCACGGGGCCGTACCTGTCAAACATGGAGTCGATCAGCTTGTGGACGGTCTCAGCGGTGAACTCGGCTGAAATAAAGTCAAAAGTAGTGCAGCAGTAATTGGTTAGGTCCATACACACAAAGTCATCATCATCATTCCTTTGTGGCCCCTGGGGAGCAAAGGGCGCGCAACCACACATTTCCATCGGACTCGGTTTTGGGCTGCCCCCTTTATCTGTGCCCATGTGAGCCCAGCTGCTTTTGCCTTTTCTTCAACCGTTCTTCTCCATGTCTTCCTTGGCCGGCCCACCCTCCTTTTTCCCTGGGGATTCCAGTATAAGGCATGCCTTGCAATGTTTTCTTTTTCCTTTCTTAATGTGTGTCCGATCCATCCCCATTTTCGGGCCTTTTAGCCCACACAAAGTGCATACAAAGTTCATACACACAGAATTCATACACACTAAGTTCATACACACAAAGTACATACACATAGAATTCATGCACAAATGTGGTAGTTAACACACCAACTATTTCTTGAATAATTTGAACGTTCCACATACGAAATAGGGGACCGTGTGGCCTAGCGGTAGAGAGCTGGACTCCTAACCCGTAAGTCTCGAGTTCGAATCCGGGTTCAGCAGACCGTCCCTGAGTCCACCCACCTCTGATGGGTACCGATGTCACAGAAACAAGTGAACTCTAATGCCCTTGCCCAATAGACCGTCAGGTTTGAAAAAGGAACTTTACTTCACACACAAAATAATTCTTCTGTAATTTGTTATTTTTAAACACATATTTCTGAACACTTACCTTGGACACTTAGTTTCTATCTGATTCCCTATACATCTCTCCTGTTTTATAGCACTTATATTTTGGCATTATACTTGACTGTATATTGAATATTATTTGGCGAAAACACTAGTAAACGAAATGCTATTCTACTTACTGAATGGCTTAAACAACAGCATGGTGCCAATCAGAGGCCATTGGTAGATCCCTTTAGGTCCAGGAATATCTTGAAAAGGTTTACAGTCTGTCTCAGTGGCATAGGTCTGACCTCGTACAAAGCTTGAGGTCACCCGGCTGATGCGTCTCACAAGGTCTCTTCTCAGCATTGTTAAACCTCGCTTCGTTCAACCTCCCCTAAACCTGTCTTCGGTCAACCTCCCCTATACCTGTCTTGTGAGATGAGACTAGGATAAATTCAATAGAAAATTGTTTAAACCCTGAGCACTACAACATCAGGCATGAATAAAAATGGTAGCTGTAGTGAGGTTTATGCAAACTAATAAAACGTGTAGTTTTAGCACCCTGACGCATTCAAGACAAAGGTCCATTATAAATGTAGTTGTCTTACTCTGTGAGGAAACTAACACCACCTGATGTATTACTTTAAACATAAGACATCAAAATACTATGGCAAGTGTAGTTTTCAGAATTTCTTTCAGTCATCGTTTCGAAAGGGGAGAGAGAAAATATCCACCTACCCCCGAAGCACATCATAATACCCCCCCCCAGCCCCTAAGAAAAAAAAACAAATATAGAAGTTTGTTACGTATAAGGAAAATATAGACATACTTAAATCAATGTCGCCTCCCCCCCCCCCCCCCGTCCGGGGAAATTTTCGCATTCGGAAGTTAAATTGCGATTCTCTAACCCTAACCCTAACCCTAACCCCCCCTAGTGAAATGACTTTTCTCTCAACAAGACTTAGCTGCTGATGATGCTATTACTTGTTATACGTTTAGGTTATTACTGAGTGACTTTTTAAATTCTTTATTTTTTTTTAAACGGTTTGCTAAGACAAGCTAAAGTTGTCCATGGTGAAACACACAACTAGTATTTAAAATATTCTTTTATAAAATGTAAAATTTAGAAGCACCTACGGGTCCAACTACTAAGTTTATTTTAAATTTTACATTCCTATTAATAATTTTAACAATGAACGTATTTTTACCTGCTCTAAGAATACATTTAGTTTCTACCTGGACAAGAGTGAATGAATTTTTACCTGGACTAAGGTTGAATGAATTTTTACCTGGACTAAGGTTGAATGAAACGTCAACACACACACACATACACACAGCTGCAGCTAGGAAAACTGTGAAGTGGCTACACACAATGTTCTAGTGTTTACTGGGCTAAAGTCCGACTGAACTTTTGTATCAGGCCGACTAGGCTCTATACCAACACATACAAGTAGGGGCCCCACCAGTCCCACCGACTGATTTTTATATCAGGCCGACTAGGCTGTATACCAACACATAGACTATGTAGGGGCCCCACCAGTCCCAGCACACCATCTATATCTGACTTAAGCTGTTGTAAATCATATAAAAATACTTAAGTCAACAATCGTCTCTCAATAAAAGTTGGGCAACGATCTAAGAAGCGTGACGAGGAAATTTGGCGCGAAATTTTAAATGTTATCTGACGTCACACATAAAGTAGGATGCTTTAAACTCAGTAAAGATTTCTACTTTTGGATCACACACATTTTACACGTTACAGCTTATTTTGTTATGTATTATAAGTGTTATAAAATACATACACATTTTTCAGGTGTCGGCTTATTTGTTAGTTGCCTGTTATAAAATGTTTCACATATTCACCTGTTTGTTAACTTTAAAAAATAAAAATTACAAATAATTTAACAGCACAGTTAGAAAGAAAAAAACGAAAGAAAAATGAAATGAAACCCTAACCCACAAAGTTCACACTACCATTCAATGAGGTAAGTGTACTACAGCAGTCGCTGGAAGGCGGGAAACTTCTTTACCAGATGGTCAGTTCTAATGTTTGATTTATTCTGCAGCCGTAAATAATATACACAAACACATCATTATCATGTAGCTAACCGTAAATCATATCAAAATTGCAACTTATACATAAAGGACCAATCACATTCACCACTTTCACAACTTAAGGGACGGATCCACTTAAATAAACACACACTACACTGTCATAACCTGAATTTTGCAAAACACATTTTCCACCCACCTCGATCTTTTTAGAAATAAAAAAACGAAAAAATGTATTTAATTTTTATTCTTTTGTGAAAATATTATACAATTAAACGACATTTAACACATACTTGTTATCGACAATAATTGTATAACAACAAACATTTATCGACAACAACCTTCACATAATCACGTGGTATCTGTTAATTGCCAACTATTCAGCGAACTCTGAAAACTTACAAATCATTCCCGGCTGATCGATCTATTGTTCTCTTATGTAAACGAAAGTTCGAATAGGTGCATAAGAGGGACCTCAGCATCTGTTACAGCCCTCATACCGTACACCTCAGTATTTGTTACAGCCCTCATACCGTACTGCTCAGCTTTACTTTCACATGACACAGATTGTCTGTGTTGTGAATCAGAGTCTGCACATTCACATTATTACAATTTAATGTGACATGCGAACAATTGGATGCGACCACACTTCTTCACCAAATGTACAAAAGCTATGAGTTATTTGCAATCAGCATGAAACATTTTTACGAAATGGTTTGAATTTTTTTAACAAAAGACTTAAGCACATATTAAAAAATGATAACATGATATAAGTATGACGTGGATAAAATTATTTGATTTCCTAAATTAAAAAAAAATCACAACCTAAGAAATATTTTTTTCTAATTTTTTTTTTAATCAGCGAGCGCTATCAATATCAGATTAATAGTTTTTTTTTTAATATCACCTTTTTTTAGCTCTTAAGCTCATCGCGACAGTGATGACGCGAGTGTAATTATATTTTACACAAGTAGCACCCCTAAATTGTTATGATGTCTGCAAATTATTTATCATCTGATGAAAATATTGTTGGTCCCTATTCATGTTAATATATTTACACAACTTTGTAATTGAATTACATCAACAATATAATTATTTTAAAAACTGTACAAATTGATTGTTTTCTTTTGGCTTGTATAACAGGAAAGTGATAAGATTACTTTAATTCTGTAAACTTAAATCTGAGTGGCACTTTTGGGTCAATAAAAACTCTGTAGACGAACTCTGTATTCCAAGACTCTGGTTCTAGCTCTATCTTCAACTTCTGCAGAACCTGCAACGTCAAGTACGTAAGGCGTTTCATTCAGCACTTTGGCGATAATTGTTTTATCATAGACATTCCTTTTTTTTTTACGAAGAAATGGAATCTACAACAGTTAATATAGCTTTTAGCTTGTCATTATAAACCAACAAACTTTATATAGATGCACCATCCGATTTTAAATAAAAGAGCATATAGGTAAAGCCAATGATTTTTAACAAAATGACCTTAATTTTTCTCTCATTCCGTCACCGAATTTGGCAAATACTTATAAAACAATGTCCCTAATTCCGTCACCAATGATACCAATTACTTCTCAAATGAAGGTCCCTTCAAAAGAAGCTAGCGAACTACGTTGTATCAAACAGGTGTATGACGTCACTCTCACCTTAGCAGCAGCCAGGTAAATCTCCTGCACGGCAAAACGTCGGCCAACACAGTTACGTGGGCCATGGCCAAACGGCAGGGCGGCCATTGCGTGAAGGCTGTCCTCCTGCCGGGTGTCCGCGTCACGTGACCTGAGCCACCTCTCCGGGAGGTACTTGTCGGCCTCCTCAAAACACTCTTTGGTTGCTCGGGGGTTTCCTAGCATGATGGGCGTCTAGGAGGTAGGAGGAGTAGAGTTGAGAGTAGTTAAGTAGGTGAGCACAGTCTAAACACACACTGACTGAACACGCACAGCCTCAACACACACTAACTGACAATACACACTGACTGAACACAAACTGACTGAACACACACTGACTGAACATATACTGAAAACACACACTGACTGAACACACACTGACTGAACACACACTGACTGAACACACACTGACTGAACACACACTGACTGAACACACACTGACTGAACACACACTTACTGAACACACACTGACAACACACACTGTCTGAACACACACTGACTGAACACACACTGACTGAACACACACTGACTGAACACACACTTACTGAACACACACTGACAACACACACTGTTTGAACACACACTGACTGAACACACACTGACTGAACACACACTGACTGAACACACACTGTCTGAACACACACTGACTGAACACACACTGTCTGAACACACACTGACTGAACACACACTGACTGAACACACACTGACTGAACACACACTTACTGAACACACACTGACAACACACACTGTTTGAACACACACTGACTGAACACACACTGACTGAACACACACTGACTGAACACACACTGTCTGAACACACACTGACTGAACACACACTGTCTGAACACACACTGACTGAACACACACTGACTGAACACACACTGACTGAACACACACTGTCTGAACACACACTGACTGAACACACACTGACTGAACACACACTGTCGGAACACATACTGACTGAATACACACTGACTGAACACACTGAGCACACACTACACACACTGACTGAACACATACTGACTGAACACATACTGACTGAACACACACTGACTGAACACACTGAGCACACACTACACACTGACTGAACACACACTGTCTGAACACACACTGACTGAACACACGCTGACTGAACACACACTGACTGAACACACACTGACTGAACACACACTGACTGAACACACACTGACTGAACACATACTGAACACCCTGAGCACGCAAACAACAAACTGAAAACGCCCAGACAACACACCGAATACTTACTTAACTCACACAAACCCCACAAATATGAACATACTAGATGGGTACCTAGTCGCATGACTCAAGAAATTTAAACAGCTTGTAAAACTGTAGCCACTTAAAAGGTTTGAACTCACCCCTGCTGGCACCCTGTATCCCCCCAGCACTACATCAACAGGTAACACACGCCCAGTGCCGCTAAGTGTGGGGAAGTGCAGCCTGCAGAAAACAAATTCTTACACAAACTAACTCAAGATTTTCTGTGTTAAACTATACCGATGTCAACGATCTGTTATATCTTTATAACAGTTTTAAATCGTGGATTTTAACGAACTAAATAAAAGAAATAAATCGTTACTACATCTTCATCGAAAAAATAAAAGTCCAGCATGTTAAAAGCATAGCAAATATAAAGAGCAATTAGCACAAACTAAAATAATGAACGATATTATTTTTCTGTTTTCGCATTTATTCGATGCGTATTTCTTTGCGCATTTTTCCGTTGCGCATTTTTCCCTTGCACATCTTTCTGGGAACTAAAACAAACTTGCTTTGCTGGAACATTCCAAACGAATAAACATCACACGATTTACCCAGACAATTATTTTCTGTCTTCTCTTAACTAATATGTCATAGAAAAACGCCATGTCAAAATTGAGATGTAATAACTAAATGCCATAAATTAGATGTCACAACTAAATGCCATAAATGACATGTCAAAAACAAATACCAACTGACCTGAAAGATTCCTTGACACAAGCCTTCAAGTAAGAAAACTCTGACAACGACTTAGACGTCACGGGTCCATCTCTACCGATGACGTCTAAAATTTCCTTACGTAATATCTCTTGTTTTTCTGGGTTTTTGGCCAAATTGAAGAACAAAGTTTGGATATTTTTGGCAGTCTAAAATTAGATGAGAAAAACATGCATACTTAACAAAATTCATTGAATGTAATACCCTAGGTTATTTAATCTGTAGGATACAATCACCCTTCATTCTTTACTAAAGTATAACTGGCCAAATACGATCTGCAAATGTGGCTGACCTACTAAAGTACGGTTGGTCAATACAGATCAAATGTGGCTGACCTACTAGAGTATGGTTGGCCAAATACAGATCTACAAATGTGGCTGACCTACTAGAGTATGACTGGCCAACTATAATTCTCTGTCCTAGGCCACAATCTCTTGCAGATTGGCTCATCCACTGCAGTGGCTATTGGCCATTACTAGCATCCGTTATCTGCTGATTTAGGATTCCTTATCTCTTTTGGCGTTTCATTTTAGCTACAGTCTGATGATGTAGGTTGGTGTTTCTCGCATAAATAAATGTTTGCCGTCATCTCCAGCGAATCTGATTTAACCCTGGGACAGATGGTTTAGCGGATGGTTGTCGCTTATATTGTCTAGACAACTCATCTATAGAACCCTCCATAGATTACGACTGTCTGGACATTCTGTAAGGTCATCGTGGTTTTAATTCAAGACTCGCTTCATTATGTTAAGGTTGTATTGAAGTGGACATTTTAACATGCTGTAAGCCCTTAAACACTACACTTGTTATCTAAAGATGTAATTGATAAGTCATGTTGGACGGCCCATACAGCATATTTGTCATGTTAGACGGCCCATACAGCATATTTGTCATGTTGGACGGCCCATACAGCATATTTGTCATGTTGGACGGCCCATACAGCATATTTGTCATGTTGGACGGCCCATACAGCATATTTGTCATGTTGGACGGCCCATACAGCATATTTGTCATGTTGGACGGCCCATACAGCATATTTGTCATGTTGGACGGCCCATACAGCATATTCGCCATGTTGGACGGCCCATACAGCATATTTGTCATGTTGGACGGCCCATACAGCATATTTGCCATGTTGGACGGCCCATACAGCATATTTGCCATGTTGGACGGCCCATACAGCACATCTGCCATGTTGGACGGCCCATACAGCATATTTGTCATGTTGGACGGCCCATGCAGCACATCTGGCATGTTGGATGGCCCATGCAGCACATCTGCCATGTTGGACAGACCATACAGCACATCTGGCATGTTGGACGGCCCATACAGCACATCTGCCATGTTGGACGGCCCATACAGCATATTTGCCATGTTGGACGGCCCATACAGCATATTTGTCATGTTGGACGGCCCATGCAGCACATCTGGCATGTTGGATGGCCCATGCAGCACATCTGCCATGTTGGACGGCCCATCCAGCATATTTGCCATGTTGGACGGCCCATACAGCACATCTGGCATGTTGGATGGCCCATGCAGCACATCTGCCATGTTGGACGGCCCATGCAGCATATTTGTCATGTTGGACGGCCCATACAGCATATTTGCCATGTTGGACGGCCCATACAGCATATTTGCCATGTTGGACGGCTAACCCCAGAGTTTGAACTCACCGAGTCTGTCCCAGCACTGTACAAGACGTCTATCATGTTAGATACGTCATCGTCCGACAACTCTTTCTCTGATGCAAGGGAGAGCAGCAAGTTCGGCTCGTCAGGATTAAACGTACCGTCTTTTTCCTGCTGTTTGATTATCTCCCTTGCTTTTATAGCGTGCTTCGCTGAGTTCCTAAAACAAAGATATTTAAACTACTGATCAAAGTTGTAACTGTTAAGTGATGCGATTTATATAGCGCACGTAGTTTGATAATTGAAAAAACAAAACAAATGAATTAAACTAAATTTTAACTCACAATAATGCATCGCTGGAAAGTGAAACATTTAATATTTAGAACTCAGAAGATTAAATTACAAAAGTACAAAGCACTCATGATATCGCCACAATAAAAGCACCCTCAAAGATAAAAGGTGTACATTATCATTAGCTCTCTCAAAGATCATCTCACTCACGCTTTAACAATATCGATAGCCCTCTCAAAGATCCGGTAAGTTTTGTTCCTGTACAGGTTATGCATGAGCGACTTCCCACTCATGCTCATGTGAATCTGCCTGAACACGGTTTTAGAAGCTTCCAGAAACTTGTTAGCCTCCTCGTCAGCACTGTTGTCAAGGTAACCAAGACGCTTGTTGAACGTGACGACGCCGATGCCTAGGATGAAGATGTTGACACATTTCTGACAGGAGGTCAATGCTGACACATTTCTGACATGACACCAGGACGGTGTTGACAACATAACAACAATACATCACGGTATCACAACGTAATCAAGTTATCAAATTTACAACATCACGATTATCTAGCAAAGACATCTAGTTCATGCATATACTAGACCAGCAATGTTAACAAACAAAGAAAGCAGTTAACCTACGAACAACTAAGCTGAACTAAAAAAGACATCTAGCTCAAGTATGTACTAGACCAGGGGTCTCCAAACTATTCAGTCCGAGGGCCGCATTAACTATCAAATTTCAGTTCGGGGGCCAGTTTGTTCCAGGCATGTCTTTGATTTACTGCGCAAAGTTCCTCATAAGCACCAACAAACAATTTTTCCTTGGACAAAAAGATCTCCGCGGGCCGGATGAGAGGACTTCGCGGGCCGCATACGGCCCGCGGGCCGTAGTTTGGAGACTCCTGTACTTGACCAACAAAGAGAAACCCACTCTCAGAGGCGTATCTATAAAACAGCTCCGACAACTCCTCTGGTCTCAGACTGTTGGTGGCCAGGATTTTGATGAAGTCGTCGGTCACGTGGTTCTGTTGCTGCAGGTAGTGAGTGGCTGAGTCGGCTCGCATCAACCGTTTGTTGACGGCAGAACGTAGGCGGTACCAGTTCTCTCCCTGTCTGAAACAGGAAGGTTACAGGTGATTATAAGGCTTATACAGGTGTGTTTGGTTGTATGTTGCTATATAAGGCTATACAATTGTGCAATTGTGTTTGGATAAATCTAGGAAGATTGTGATGTATATATATATATATATATATATATATATGCTTCTTCATGTGTAAATGTATGTGTATCTGTGTCTTAATGCCCAAGTACAAACAAATAAAAAACAATGGACAAACAGCTTAAGGGCTATCATGTGAGTTAGGTATAAGTTTCAAATCCACTTACTCCACCGTTAAAGTTTTGGTGATCCCGCGTCGTTTCTGATACACTTCAACCAACTCGACTGGTGGACGGTTGGGGTATTTGCCCTCGTTTCTGAAGACAGTTTCAATGTCCTTGGGGTCAGACACCATGACCAACTTCCTGCCCAGCTGGACCTTGACCACTGGTCCGTACTTGTCAAAGAGTGAGTCGACAAGTTTGTGGGAGGTCTCGGCCGTGTACTCAGCTATTTGATTACAGGTGGAAAGATTGGAGTCATTTTACAGGTGTTGGGGGTGAGTCAAGGTTACAATAGTGAGACAACTGTGTCAAGGTTACAATAGTGAGACAAATGTGTCAAGGTTACAATAGTGAGACAAATGTGTCAAGGTTACAATAGTGAGACGAATGTGTCAAGGTTACACTAGTGAGACAAATGTCTCAAGGTTACAATAGTGAGACGAATGTGTCAAGGTTACAATAGTGAGACGAATGTGTCAAGGTTACAATAGTGAGACAAATGTGTCAAGGTTACAATAGTGAGACAAATGTGTCAAGGTTACAGGTGAGACAAATGTGTCAAGGTTACAATAGTGAGACAAATGTGTCAAGGTTACAATAGTGAGACGAATGTGTCAAGGTTACAATAGTGAGACAACTGTGTCATAGTTACAGGTTGGAGAAATGTGTCAAGGTTACAGGTGGGAGAAATATGCGAGTCAATGTCACAGGTATGAGATAAATGTAAGTCAAGGATACAGATCAAGACAATCTTATCTTCCGCTAAGTCCGAATGGGTTGTCTTTACGATAAAAATCTACGAACTGAATCATAGTCTAAACGTAGTCAGCAATGACATGAGTCACTGAGCCGAAACACTGACTCAACACCTTCCCTGACTCAGCTTATAAAATAAACCGATACTTAACGAAATTCCAGGCCAAGTTCGTGATTTGATAGTAGAAATATTACCATATCCAGGACCACTGTGTACGTTTAATAATGGATACAGATTAAAAAAAAATTGGCGGAAATAAAAATGCAGTCTTTTCATGTAATATATTACGTTAGTTAACTATTTAAGCATTATTGTTAAAAAATGTTATTATACTTGTCATTGTATCATTATATCACTAGAACATGCAATTCTTACTTTAGCCGGGTTTCATGTGTATCGCTACAATCATCATTAAAATGCTACAAATGTATTGACGTATAGACTCACTGAAAGGTATAATGTGTATTGCTACAATCATCATTAAAATCCTACAAATGTATTGACGTATAAACTCACTGAAAGGTTTAATGTGTATCGCTACAATCATCATTAAAATGCTACAAATGTTTTGACGTATAAACTCACTGAATGGTTTGAAGTGTATCGCTACAATCATCACTAAAATGCTACAAATGTATTGACGTATAAACTCACTGAATGGTTTGAAGTGTAGGGCTACAATCATCATTAAAATGCTACAAATGTATGGACGTATAAACTCACTGAAAGGTTTGAAGTGTAGGGCTAACAACCATCATTAAAATGCTACAAATGTATTGACGTATGGACTCACTGAAAGGTTTGAAGTGTAGGGCTACAATCATTACAATACTACAAATGTATTGACGTATAGACTCACTGAAAGGTTTGAAGTGTAGGGCTGTGCCTATTAACGGCCAGGTGTAGATCCCCCTGGGGCCGGGCATCTCTTCAAACGGTTTCCCTTCTGTCACTGTGGTGCTGTACGACGTTGTTGACGTCATGACGGCAGGGTATTGTTGGACACACGTCTGCCACACACGTCGAATTGTGCCGGACGTCCGCAACATTTTGTATTTTGTTGGATGTTGTAGATATTCAATTCACTAACCCGTCTACCTAAAGAAAAATTCTGTATTTTGTTGGATGTTGTAGATATTCAATTCACTAACCCGTCTACCTAAAGAAAAATTCTGTATTTTGTTGGATGTTGTAGATATTCAATTCACTAACCCGTCTACCTAAAGAAAAATTCTGTATTTTGTTGGATGTTGTAGATATTCAATTCACTAACCCGTCTACCTAAAGAAAAATTCTGTATTTTGTTGGATGTTGTAGATATTCAATTCACTAACCCGTCTACCTAAAGAAAAATTCTGTATTTTGTTGGATGTTGTAGATATTCAATTCACTAACCCGTCTACCTAAAGAAAAATTCTGTATTTTGTTGGATGTTGTAGATATTCAATTCACTAACCCGTCTACCTAAAGAAAAATTCTGTATTTTGTTGGATGTTGTAGATATTCAATTCACTAACCCGTCTACCTAAAGAAAAATTCTGTATTTTGTTGGATGTTCTAGATATTCAATATTCACTAATCCGTCAACCTAAAGCAACAATTCAAAATACAGACATTATTAGATAAAGGCTATTTATAATATCGTTAGCAGTTTTACTAATTTTGCATACAACTGAATGTAGTATCATTTAAATCACTAGCTTTTTCGTTAGTTAAACATGTAAATATAAACGTTTAAATGAGTTGTACTTAAAATTAAACGTATTTAACCCAAGTATAGAGTTAGTAGATTGAAGTTCTAGTGGAAAGCGGTAGTTTCAAAACATTATAATCAGCATACACCTTGTAATTTATAAAAGTTAAAATTATAACTTAATTTAAGTGTGTGTAAAAATTATAATATATGTGGGTATTGTGTGGAAGGTTTAGAAATAGATCTCATTTTGAAGACGGGAAGTTTGTTGTAACAAATTCAGAATGATTAAAGTAGTGTATTAAGGAGGACTGTATAATTATAGCACACTCTAGACATGCAAGCAATCAGTACTGCAACCGATGCTCTAAAAAAATTATTAAATTCTCAACTAATGCACGCAAAATGGTTAAAAAAAATAGCACAAAGCTCGTTCATAATGAACTAATTACAAGCAACTTAGTCTGTGTTGATATGTATGTCTTTACTTGGACTGTGAGTATAAACACTAATTAGTTAATTTGTTACATACTATGTATTAACGGTTACAGCAAAACTAGAATAATAATATCATTACAACAAATACACTAACCAGAGAAAATTAAATGTACAGGATTAAAACACAACTTACGTGAGGATTTTAACACAACTCACCTGAGTAATAAAAAAAAACACACCTTACCTAGGCATTAAAACACACCTCACACGAGTATTAAAATCCAGCTTACTTGATTATTAAAACACAGCTTACTTAAATATTAAAACACTTCACACGAGTATTAAAATACACCTAACACGAGTATTAAAACACAGCTTACCTGAGTATTAAAACACAGCTCACACGAGTATTAAAACACAGCTTACCTGAGTATTAAAACACAACTCACCTGAATATTAAAACATAACTCAACAGAGAATTAAAACACAGCTTACCCGAACACTGCTCGCACACCATCGACCCAACACCTTCTAACTAGCGCCACCCTGATCTAGGCTAAGGTACGTCCAGTGCAGTTCAGTCAGACATGTAAATATTGAGAGTGGATATGTCGGTACAGTGACAGACGGTGAATCATCTCAATTCTCCTTCCCCTGCCTAGAATGACTCAACCCATTGGTCAGATAGTATTCTAAGGGGCTTAGTCAAAGCTAGAAGTGTGTGTGTGTCTATGTGAGAGGTTAAGTGTGGGCTGTGTGTGTGGAAGTGCTAGTGCATGAAACTGTGAGGTGGGCGTGGCTTGAAGACAGAAGTAAAAATGCAAGTCGTGCCATCAGATAGATCGAACTGGTGCAGTGACTTAAACACGTCATTTTTTCATATCTTTATGACGAGTTCAAAATGCTAACTTAACACTTTATTTATGTAGGCTTTTAACTGAATATTTTGTCTATGACTAAGTAAATTGTTTTTATAAAGATTACTTTTTAATAGCTCATTTTAAAGGGGGATTGTGTTTTTTTTTGCTTTCATATTTTGTGTGTCAATTTATCAATCAATTATCGAACTTTCGTTTCGGCAAGTATTTTCTTCAAGAATGAAATATTTTTACTTTATCCGGGGATACAATCGTAACATAAAAACAGAGAGATTATCAATGCAGTTGTCTTTCTTATGTTCTAAGAAAAAATCGCCTTGTGTTTAATTGTTTTAAATTTATACTCATAGGAACACAATGAATCTAGAAAAGAAATATTTAAATACATATTAGGTTAAAATATTAGTATACATGAAGTAACTATTATGTAGAAAATTAAATTACATCAAATGTTTCACAAATGTACAGTGGCGGAACTAGATAAAAAAGGTCACCCCACAACATGGTTTACTTATAGATAGATCTAATACAAAATGTCTAATTTATTTTTTTATTTAAAAAAAAAACAACAACCCGAAAATGCGAATGTGTAATTAAATGTTGATTCAATGGATTGGTTTTTCAATCTGCGTGGTGGGCTGAGGGGGTTTGGGCTTTAAAGTACAGTTAAAATACATTTGCGATTGTTTTGAAAATCTGTTTTATTTTATTTCTGCCGTAATACTTCTTAACATCGAGTCGGTCATAAGAATGTGAAACGTGAAAGCTTTGTATGTCTAATGGTTTCTCGTGTTGTTTGTTTTTATATTTTTTTTGTATTTATATAATTAATTTATATACATTTCCTTTTTATACTATGTCATTCTTTAGTATGTATTATTTTTTTATAAAAAAAAATATTTAAACGTACATAAAACCGAAATTATTTTTAATATATTCTTTTTGATTATTTGTAGAATACAGGATGGTACAGAATAGTTGTTCTACCAATACAAAATAGTACATATTACATTGAAAAATCACAATGGGCGCCTTTCCAACGCTATAAGGAAGCAAAATTGTCTTAAAATCTTGCGGCTCTTAGCGCAATGGATTTTAATTTTTTTTTTCAAAAGAATTTTGCCGACAACATCGTGTGTTTGATTGTAGGAAAAAGAGGACTCGGCTTTCACAATAGTTTAAAATTAAAAACAAAGGGAATAAGAATATACAAGAGATACAATATATCAGTGTCATTTTGTGGATGGGTCCATTGTTTACAAATAAAGTTATAACACAATCATATCAAATTTTAATCTCATTAGATGTTGTAATTTAAAGATACTATGACAAAAGTGAGTCGATGTAATGCAGTACAACATAAACATCAATCAACCGAGTGGATTTTACGCGCTCTTTAGCTTTTCACACTTCAAACCGATAATGGACTTTAATTAGGGCAGATAATTACCATTAGAGCATAGATCGAAAGCTAATAATCGGGTATCAAACAAATTAATGGCGTGGGATGCCGAATTAATTATTAAGAATGGACGAAATAGAAGAATAATATAATATACACAGACTTGAAAACATTGTCTGCTTTCTATTTATTTCTGTTCCAGTTCGTGATTTAATTTTAGAGACACTCTTTTATTGTTACATCCAAAGAAAAGAAAGTTTGATAATTTCATACATTCAGTTAATTTACATTCGGTATTTTTATAATGGCTGTATTAAAAAATACATGTAGAGCTTCTTGCAAGACTACTATTCATGCTGTTTTAACATCACTGACTAAGGCTAGTGGTCTAATTTGGCTATGGCTAAGTGTGATGGTACGAAAGGATCTTTGTTTGAAGTTCTTCTAGTTGTACCAGTTGTGAGGGTGGGGATTTTTAAGAGGCGTAACGAATGAATCCAATAACACAAGTTCCAGTATAAAAATCAAAATGTTCTTTATTGCAATTATACATGTTTCTATCTAACTAGCTTATTCTATACTCTCTACTGTTTACTACTACTACTGCTAACTGTTCACTATACCACTAACTACGCACTCCCATGACCACTCCTAACACTATCTAACTGTTCTCTACATAACAACGTCTGCTCCATTCTACAACCTAACACCTTCTCTACTCTTCGCTAGCTACCTATCAACTGCCGGCTTATCTCTCTACTGACCCACGCCTCAGTGGTCAGCTGACCGTCCCATGTGACTGGTCATTCACGTATTTTTATTGGTCTCTCTCTGACCAACTCGCTATAGAGTCCTTGCAAACACGTGACCTAAATCACGTGATACCTACGCCCGCCGCCACAGTGGTGTACATCAGACGTAAACACAATCAGCTGTTCGCCAGCGCTGGACGTGTTCACCAGCGCTGGACGTGTTCACCGTATGTAAAGAATCGCGCCCGCGGAAAAGGAAAAATACGTTAAAAACTTGAACTCTTAGGAATTGAAGATCCTTATACAGTTATTGACAGTTTCGTGGATAATATAAATATGTGGCCGAAATTTCTAAATAAAAATACTGTTAGTAATACCGTTTGCGTTTAGAGTTTAAGTAGACGAAGCTGATCAAATGCAGTAATATATTATAGGTTATCTACTGTAGCAAACGTGAGACCACTTAACTCCTACAAAACCCACACTACAACGGCTAATATAATCCATGGGTAATAACCAATCTGGGTAGCATGTTATACAATTTAAGACCCTTATAATCCAGCAGGGAAGTAATCAGACACATTAATACTGATGTTCAACCCACATGATGGCTGCCCCCACCTGTATCTAGCCCACAATAAAACCAAAGAGGAGTCTGCCCTGCCCTCCCCTGAAAATGTCTCACCTCCGTGATACCCAGCCCCACAGAGATAGTATTTCTTATATAATTTTGACCCTCATGGCCCAGCAGGGAGAACAAAGGGGAAAGTCCCACTGCTCTCCCCTCAACACTTCTCACCTCGGTGTCATGTTATGTCATTTATAGCACACATGGCTTATCAGGGGAAAGCATTAAGGCATTAAGAATCTTAACTCTGGACAGCTA